TTTATTACTTTATTATTATTACCTAAAGAAGCGAGGGATATGTTGAGCTTTCTTTACATAGTAGATCGCTGAAAGAGAACATAAAAAATGCATGTCATCAATTTCACAGAATGTTTCTATTGCGACTTTCTAGGAAAAGCGGATATAAGCCCATTTAATGAATAAGTACATTCCTTTTGCGTTTCTTTACAAACAATCAAAATTTTTAATATAAAGTTAAAATAAAAGTACCGTATGGGCTTTGTTGTTTCTACCCAGAGGGCTGTTTCACGGCAAACAGCTAAGTTTGTAGTTTTTTTACTTTCGTTCTGTTCCGTTCCAAGTGTTCCAGTCGCATGAGTGTTTTATAGATTTTTTTGAAATAAATTCTCCGTTTATTGTGACGCGCAATAAATGTATTATATAAATGTAATAGATGTAAATGTAATGGTATGTTTTAAGCTTTAATTTGTTTCTCAGATACGTTTTATCTAGTCGTTCCTAAACATTTTTGTTATTCCGCTCATACGACCCTCCGGATATAAGCTCGCCCCCTCCGTTTATAAGCGTACTCAAAACCCGCTGTGAAGTTATATAGGCCCAGGGTTTTGAAGTGGGATTTTACGGTATCTAACAAGCCCAGCCTACTGATTTGTCGATGTATTTGAATAATTCATATTATAGCGCGAATTTTCCGATAGAAATAGAAAATGAAACATTGACGGCAAAACACAGCATTGAAACGTCAAACTTTGCGAAGGCTTTTGTAAGTATTAGTTGGTTACGCTGAGACTATCAGCTAGAAAGGAGCGTAGACCGAAATTTACATACCTGGAAAGTCGCTCACGGTGTTACTGACTACGTCCACGTCATGTCCGTAGGCAAACTGAAATTATCATTCTTAACTATTTTATATTCTCTCGGTGTTTTCGTTTCTTTCTTGGGTGATTCAACGCTCTTTGGATGAGGTACTTTCACTTTACAGTTGATTTCCATGCCTTAGCGGAAAAATTATGCTGCAAAGGCCTGGATCGGGGTGCAATAAGCACGTAATGACTGTTTCCTCGAGACTCTCAGTGTTCCCCCAGAGAAGGTTGGACACGCGCCGAACTG